TTTTATGGAGGATTTAATCATGAGCTGACATCAGTTAGAGAACCACTGGAAAACCTGGGAGTACTGGATAGCCGTTTCGTCCTAGTTTGGGACTCCTCATCAGTACGCACCCACCGGGATTCGAACCCAGGACCTTCTGGTTACAAGGCGAGCTCGTAGACCATTGAGCCACTGGGACCCGATCCAATGGTCCTTGAATTCTAACTTCTGCCAGTTCATATTACATTTTAATACCTTGACCCCGTACGCCATCCTATGGTGTGATTTCACACAAATAAAGGCATTCCGATGACCGACCTTGTTTTGTTCTGGATTATTTAACTCAGAAAAGATGGTTATAATAATAATAATAAAGTTTATGCAGGTAGCGATAAGAATAACGAAGGTAGTAATATGTGTGTGTATGTAGACAATTCAATTCAAATAAATTAATGAGGTCAAAGTTCAAAAGTTACGTAATACTAAAGGTAGGCGAAGTGGACAGATAATCAGAGTTTAAATAAATATCATCCAAACACGAAGGAAATGGAAAATAAGAAAGGGAGGGAAGATTTTTTCTCCATTAGACTGTACCTAGGCCAAGGATGGGGGACACAAAGGTAGAACAAACTTCTTTTGTTTTATGCAAAGACACTGGGATTGTTCTCTTGAATTAATTCTCATAGCTTCGGCTTTATGTAAAAGACGGGTCCGAATTCCGTTAGGAAGGCTCGATGGAATGCGATAAATAAGTTTGAAGGCACTATTTCTGTCCATTTGATGACCACTATCATCAATCAAATGAGACAAAATAGAATTTCTTATAGATTTTATTTGACCTATTCTGAACCATGAAGAAAGATGCTCATTCATACGTTTGTTCGCCCTATATAACCAGCTTTCTTTGCAGAAGCAGCTAAATTTATAGATACACATAGAAGTGGCACAGCTAAGCAGCTTGTCTTTCGCTTGAGCAGTCATAATTGGTCGGTAGCTGGAAAATTTGTTTATTTTTATTTTTTTTATTATAGCTTAATTCCACATTGTATTTTTGGTACAAGTATGGAATTTTCAGCATGTGATATCGGTAGCCCAAATTTTGGAGGCCGAATAATTGATATCTGGTGTGCGTCGGCAGGGGATTGAATTCCGGACCATGTGGCATGGTCCGCGAGAGTCCTAGCCGCTGTACCACCAATAAACAGAAGGTAGTGGCTGTCGCATAAGTCAGTTTTATGGCTCTCCATAATCTCAGATGTATAACTTCATTAGCCAATTCACTATTAAAATACAATTTTAGGAACAGTTGTTTCCTTTTAACTGTTGTCAGTTTTTCTTTTATTATACATAGTGCATTCATGTGTCTCCTTACAAATCCATTTGAACCAGAGTATCTTTGATGCATCTAATTCATTTTCTAGGGAGTCGTCTGTACAGATTCTTTTTGCTCTATTTGTGAGGCATCTAACCAAATTGATTTTCTATCAGATTGTTACAAAACTGAAAGATGTGTGTATACTGTCCTACAGATTTAGGTTTTCTATAGACACATCTCTCTTGAGGGAACCATCCTCTCTTCTGCTCAATTTGACGTCAAGAATAAAAAACGCATCATCAACTACTTTGACCTACGTATAATTGACTTCACTTACAGTCATCACGTGTTTTAATCGGTAAATTATATTATTTTTCCTAATTCAATCGACCAGTCCATAAGCCGTCAATGTTCGTCTCTCAATGAATGAGTTAGTTGGTTTAAATACTACTTTAACTGGTTCGGAGTAATATGAGGCGCCCTACATATAGCCTTTGATGTTCCTTCTTTATATGTCAGTACTGTCAAGGCTTTGAATTCTGTAATTCTGTTCTCTAACTGATATCAATCTGTGAGTACACTTGAAATAAAAATATTATTTGAATAAAGCGAAAACAATGGCTTTTGCAGAATAAAGCTGTACCATCATTGTTTATTTCGTTGCCTTCTCATCAGCTGCTTACAGGCTACAGTCATTATTAAGTATATCTACAGATACAGTTTTAACATACTTGCACAGACAGTTTATTTTTAAACAAAAATCAATCAACCAATATATGCATACACTAATAATTATTTATAATAATAATAAACACTTTATCCCGAACAATAATGATCATACACAACGGAACCTTTTCAGCATTTTGCATTCAGATGAAAGAGAGATGAAAAAAAATATCCAGTTACCAGGTTGGGCAAAGAAAGACTGATAACCGCTTCTTTCTGGACGCACAAATCAGGTTTCAGCCTCTTGATGGAGATGGTTTCAGCAAACTTGAGGAGAATTGAGCTCTTTTGCCTATTGATAATTTCGAACGATCTTGTAACGTCCACCTCATGATGCGTGTTAAGAAGATACCTGGCGATGGCACTGTTCAAAGCATTGTTCCCTTTAGACATAAGCTTTTTGGTACATGTTTAGAAAATCGCAGATATGCCCTTCTTCTTTCTGCTCTCCCAATGTAGTCGCTACCGCAGATACATGTAAATTTGTATATACAGTTGGAGTTGTTAACATGAGAAGGATATCTATCGATTTTTGATTGCACCAAATGAGAGCAAGTTGTTCGATAGACGAGAACCAGCTTAGCTGCAGCATAGGATCTGGCTATTGACGTACTCAGTCTTCTGTTGACCATTGCTTCAATGTTTTCACCTTTATAATCAAGTTGAATGTAGACTTGATTTTTCTCCACTGTGATTTGTTTGACATTTGAGACTTCAGATCTCTCGTACTTGTTATTCAACCTTTGAGGGTAACCATTGCTCTTCAACATCTTTCCAAGAAACACAAATTCTTCCTCTAATTTCTCTTTAGAGCATAATCTCCTCGGTCTATAGTATGTGCAAGTATGTTAAAATTGTTTCTGTAGATATACTTAATAATGACTGTGGCCTGTAAGCAGCTGATGAGAAGCCAACGGACGAAATAAATGATGGTACCACTTTATTTTGCAAAAACTTTAGTTCTCGCTTTATTCAGATAATATTTTTATTTCAAATGTGACCACAGATTGATATCAGTTAGAGAGTATTAGACGGCTGTTTTGTCCTAGTGCTTGGGACTTATCCACAGTATCTACCCACCTCCAGGGTTCGAACCTAGAACATTCCAGTTACAAGCAACTAAGCTCGTAAAGTATTCAGCCACTAGGCCCCAATCCATTGGCCAGCCCATGAATTCTAACTTTTACGAATGAGTAGCTTTAGCGCAAATAGCCCCAGGCAGTGTTATCACTGGCGAGTATTCGTCCTCACTCCCAACCAGCTGGACCCTACTGATCACAACTTCTCACTAGAACTCAAGGAAACTTCGTCCTGAAGTCAGCCACTAGGATCCATGACTAATTTTATTTTTCTTAGGGATCCTCACACATTTCTGAATAAATTCTGGTTCGCCAGTTATTCAGCAGTAATATTTTCTTTATTTGTTTGTCTTCACTGTTTAGGCTTCTAGCTCGATTATTATTATTATTATTATTAATAATATAAAAACTTGGTATATTATGAGCACCAACAGATGTGCCACACAAATTCTCATCATTTGTGCGAGGACTGGGAAACTTCTCGTAGTGTCAGACCGAAACAAGTAGTTAGTTGTCTTACCTACCCGAGCATTTGACTAAGAGTCTGATCCACAAGACGGTGGAATTGCGCTCTGATGGATTCTGGTGACCAAAACAGATTCCTACGCCACTTGATTCATTCAGATTATGGTGCTCATGCACACAATATGTTTGGAATCAGGCTTTCCCATCTTCTTTACGTCTTCCTGCATGTTCACCAGTGCGGTTATAAGATGCAAGATGCTCAGGAAGGCATCCTGTGTTTTTGGAAGTGTGTGGTCGGTTGTTACTTCCCGGCTACCTATACCGTGGAAGTTGATTGATTCTTTGGGTACCTGAAACAGACAGAGGGTTAGTGTTGCGTGACCGCAGAGCCCAGGGGACAACTGCTTGAGACCAGTCACACACGGCCTGTATGAACTGGTTTCTGGATTGGTTCCGTATTAGTAAATTTATCGCCGGTTACGGACCACTGTAGGGTAAGTCGGGATGTACAATTTTTTAGGTCGACTTTTTCTAGTCCCCTCCCTCCAGAGTAGACACACAGTATAGCTGGCTGACATGCTGGTCATCTGAGGGAAACACATTACTGCTGTTACATCCCTGTTCCCCAGAAATACGGCTTCGCCCCCAGACTCCCAGCATAGTGTAGAATAAATTCTTACACAATTCCGGTAACTGCTTTTAGTCTAATTGCTATCGTAACAACCTTCCTGGCATGGTAGGACATGCAGGAACACATGTTCCAGCCAGTGTAGCTTGTTGGGTCACCGCGATATGCAAGCCCGACCACCACGTCAAGGTAGCAGCTAACGGTTGGGTATAAGATGCAAACGTTTATATTAGCCCTTCCACATCTTCCCTGCGTCAGAGCGACGAATAGGACTAACATAGCAGAAGTGGCTACAAACGCTTGGCCACATGACAGTATTTCAAGAGGGTGGCCTGAATCTACCCACTTTCGGGCGTACCTGATTATCTTTGCGAACACCTAGCTAAACCTACAGAATCTATATCATGAGGTTACATCAGTTAGAGAACTATTGAAAACCAGCATGGAGCACTGGACAGCTGTTTCGTCAATAATACGTACCCACCACCAGGATTCGAACCCAGAACCAACTGGTGAGCTCGCAGACCATTAAGTCACTAGGACTCCATTCAGCGGCCAACCCATGAATTCTAATTTCTGCCAATTCACGATATAGTGCAAGTGTCACTAACTGATGTCGTCACTGGCGAGTGTTTATCCTCTCAGCCGACCTGCTATACCCCACTGGTCACGACTTCTTACTGGAATCCAGGTAATCTAGCCTTATTAATATTCTATTGATATATGTGTCAAATGAAAGAAACGTATATACACATAACATGGAACAGTGTTCGATGTTTTGATTGCTTTTGTTTTCCACTTCTGCCAGTTCCTACAAAACACTTTTCAAAGTATCCTGGTGATGGAGACATTTATGATCCAGAAGGTAGGAGAAGGCGGACAAGACCAGAACAGAAAGAGTCACCTGTACCAAGTGATCCAAGGAAGGCGAAACTTCCTCATAGTGCCAATGGTCTGGCAAAACATCCAGATGAATACAATTATCTCGCTGAAGCAGAGAAACAAAAGCCGACTGCAGACTATTGTACTTCTGAATTATCTGATGGTAGTAGCCTCCTCTATGGGAAAACAAATCAAGGGTCAACTAGAAAACAACCATTCAAGAGTTTGGATAAATACAAAAGTAAAGGTTAGTCGATAATATTCTTATGCAAGTAAGAAGTTGAGTTGAATTTCACGATGTGTTCAGCCTCCGACAGGTCGAAATTTAGAAAACAATAAACACGGATTAATAATTGAAGAGCTTAAAAGTTATTGATTTTAAAGAAGGATTGATATCAATTAGAGAACCATTGAAAACTCACAGGCAAGATCACTGGACAACTGTTTTGTCAGAATAGTTTGGGATTCGGTGGCAATACCCAACCACCGGGAGGTTTCAAACCCAGAGCATTCTGGTTACAAGACCTGGAGTTTTAGTGAGAAGTCATGACCAATGGGGTCCACCTGGCTGGGAGTGAAGACAAATACTCGCGATCGATGACATTGGCTCGTGCCAGTAACTCTAAACAAAATCACGATGTGATAGAAGATAGAATTCATGGGTTGGCCATCGAATCAGGTTCAACTGACCGAATGTATATGAGCCTGCTTTGTAAATAGAATGTCCTCTTTTCAAAACCCAGTGGATGCGTACTACCAATGTGTCCCAAACTAGTGGACGAAACGGATATCCAGTAGTCTAGTGTTGGTTTTAATTGTTCTCTAACTGATATCAATCCTTGGTCATATTTCTTATCATTACAGTTATATAGCGGATACACTTTTACGTAGAATAACAGATTGTTATGTACCGGTGGAGAATTTAATAGTCCTGACGCAAGAAAGACGGAAATCAGAAGACCACTAGGTTTGCGATGATACTTCTATTTTCCAAAATACCAGGAGAATCAATGTGTCACACAAGAGTGTGACAGCAAAAATATAAGAATGTCCGAACAAGTGTGTGAACACAAGTGTGTGAGCGAATATTCAAAATGAACAAATCAATAGACAGTCTTAACATGATTGGCTAATTATAATGGAATATCGATCCATATATACATAGCAAAATATATCAGACTGTCAAACAAACACACATATTATATGGGTATATATCACCTCCCTTTTGAGAAGATTGATGATTAGTAGGTGTTTTCTTGGGGGTTTATCTGGAACCGTTGAACTTGTTGTTGACGTCTGTCTGTTGGGTTTGCGGCTTCGGCTTCGTCCGGAATTGTCTGACATTTTATGTTTCTTGACTGCATTGAATAGCGAATTTAGTGGGACATCAGCCAGATGCTGACGATCGAACCAATCAAGTCCCAAAAGATTTAAATCACTCTTGGTGATGTAGCAAATTCCTGTGAATTTGATATTGCGGAAGGAAACAGAACATTCGAGTTCACCAATTAGTTTGAGGCGCCCATCACAGGCGCTGACAGCAGTCTGAGAAGTATTTGCGATTGGTGGTCTGCCAATATTATTCCAAAGTTTCTCTGATATAACAGTAATATCGGAGGCGGTATCTAGCTGCAGACGTGCATCATGACCATTCATCTGAAGGTCAAGATATTTCCACATACCTGGTGTTGTGACTTGACAGTTTGCGAGTCGACTCAATTCATGATCAGAGTTGGCAGACTGACACAGAAGTCACTCAAGTGTTCTAGAATAGACAGCTTCGCACACACATTTCTTTTCTGCCATGTAAAACCATGCTGGAATAAGTTCTCAAATCAAAATAGAAACCGTTCATCGACTAGAGCCATTGTAACCTACTCCACAGGATTAGGTGAACTGATAGATGCATATGGAAGTGACCAGAAGAGATGGAGATCAACTTACGGCTGGTGAAGGTTTTCTGTGATTTTGTAGCAAGGAGCGTCTGATCAATGGATTTAGAGATAGATTTCTGAACATATCTATGAAGCCGAATCACCTTCGGATCCCACATTCATGAAGACTGTTATACTTTGGAAATTTAGTATGAAGTGATGAAACACATAATGTAATACTGTAATGCTACAGACTAGACGCTTGGTAAAGGGACGTTTATTTGGGAATTTGGCATCTTTATATAGCCAAATTATGCACACCTTATCTTTAAATCACCACCATTTGCACAGATCTCCTGTGTTGTGGTACTTCTGGCCTTCCTCCATTTTGTCTTTCTTTGTGTTCCTATCACGTCTCCATGTATATCCGCAACTCTGCATCATTTTGCTTTCTCTGACATCAAATCTCTCTCTCTGCTGTTTGATGATTCGATGTCAATGAACGTCTCTTCATATATTACTGAAAAATCTTATCAGTAGCACATGCCGACCGTGTCGGTGGGATAGGGGTTAGGACGATCGCTAACCATGTATGTGGTTCGCGGTTCGATCCCCGCCGCCGATGCACTCTTTACTCATTAAGCCAATAATAAGACTGGTAGGGAGGAAAGGTTGGGCATGAGGCTGGCTAGGAACCCCATCCTATAAAAATGAAACACTGCTACAGAAACTTCAAGCCACTATAGCTTGAAGCCGCCCTATGTTCCACTGGGGAACGTGAAGGAAAAAAAAGCACATGCCACACTATGTCAAATAGTTCAAAGAATGTATAGATTTTTGAAAGGAATGTAAAATGAATAGGATTAATTGGACTAGTAGGTAATTGAAACATTACATAATATGCTAAGGAGTTTCATAAGATAGAATGTAACATTTCAAAAAATATATATTTGAATTAAAATGCTATAATAGATGGAATAAGTGGCATAAAAACAGAAATTGTTCAATGCGATAAACAAAAACAACAACAAAAAATAATAATAACAATCGTAATAATAAATGGAAGGTGCATAGATTAAATAAACCAAACAAAAAATAAATAAAAAAGTTTTCAAGTACTAGTTTTATAGGGATTTTGTTTTTTTTATTGATTGGTTGTAGGATTTCATCATGAGCTGACTGACATCAGTTAGAGAACTGTTGGTAGACCTGCAGGGGTGGGGGGGGTGGGAGTACTGGATAACTGTTTTTCGTCAGACTAGTTTGGGACTGATCGAAGAAGAAGACATTGAGAAGTGGTCGCGTTATATCATGATTTGGGAGAAGTTAGAATTCATGGACTGGCCATTGACTGAATCGGTTCTCAGTGGCTGAATGGTATACGAGCCAGCTTGCCTTGTAACCATAAGCTTCTAAGTTTAAAATCGAGTGAGTGTGTACTGCCAATGTGTTCCAAACTAGGATGAAATAGCTGGCTGTCCAATACTCCCTGTGACTGGTTTTCAATGGTTCTCTAAATGATGTCAGCTGGTGATGAAATCATTCAGATTATCGATCAAATACAATCAGATAGGAAATAAGATGTTTTATAGTAAAATGAAATAATATAATTTACAAAATACCTTGCAATAACTGCGCATGAGGTCAACTACATAGGTCAAATTAGTAGACAAGTTGTAGTCAAATTGTCAGAACATAAGAATTCAGCTAAGATTAGAATGATTGATTCCACGATGATAAATGATTTAGAAAGAGGCTCAGCAATGCAAGCATTAACACACAACCACACAATAGTGTGGGACAGAATTAAAACTCCAAAAAGTAATCTAGGTAGGTGGAGACAGAGAGAGGTTGATTGCTGAATCCTGCTTGGTTCATCAAGTCTATACTCAACACAACATATGCAATAGAAGTGACTCAACGCAAGTACGAGAGATATGGAGGATATTATTACCACCACTCAGTCAGTTAAATCAGAGGAGGATAATAAATAATCTTAAATTGTATTCTATTTCAATTCAATTCACGCACATCACCACAGCATTCTAACAAGTAACTTATTGTGACTATAAAAAAAACACTCGTCTTATTTCCCATCTGATTGCACTTGATTGATAACACTAATATGATTATTTGTGAATATACTTTATCCTTGTTATGTACTCGTCGCTAAATTATTGTTATGTACTGGTCGAGAATTTAATAGTCCTGACGCAAGAAGGCGGAAATCAGAAGACCACTAGGTTTGCGATGATACTTCTATTTTCCAAACACAAGGTGAATGCAAAAGTGGTATCACACCAAAGTAGAGTCACACAAGATTGTGAGAGCGAAATATATATGAATGTCCAGACAAGTGTGTGAACAAATCAATAGACAGTCTTAACATGATTGGCTAATTATAATGGAATATCGATCCATATATACATAGCAAAATATATCACACTGTCAAACAAACACACATATTATATGGATATATATCACCTCACCTTTTGAGAAGATTGATGATTAGTAGAGTGTTTTCTTGGAGGGTTATCTGGAACCGTTGAACTTGTTGTTGACGTCTGTCTGTTGGGTTTGCGGCTTCGGCTTCGTCCGGAATTGTCTGACATTTTATGTTTCTTGACTGCATTGAATAGCGAATTTAGTGGGACATCAGCCAGATGCAGACGATCGAACCAATCAAGTCCCAAAAGATTTAAATCACTCTTGGTGATGTAGCAAATTCCTGTGAATTTGATGTTGCGGAAGGAAACAGAACATTCGAGTTCACCAATTAGTTTGAGGCGCCCATCACAGGCGCTGACAGCAGTCTGAGAAGTATTTGCGATTGGTGGTCTGCCAATATTACTCCAAAGTTTCTCTGATATAACAGTAATATCGGAGGCGGTATCTAGCTGCAGACGTGCATCATGACCATTCATCTGAAGGTCAAGATATTTCCACATACCTGGTGTTGTGACTTGACAGTTTGCGAGTCGACTCAATTCATGATCAGAGTTGGCAGACTGACACAGAAGTCACTCAAGTGTTCTAGAATAGACAGCTTCGCACACACATTTCTTTTCTGCCATGTAAAACCATGCTGGAATAAGTTCTCAAATCAAAATAGAAACCGTTCATCGACTAGAGCCATTGTAACCTACTCCACAGGATTAGGTGAACTGATAGATGCATATGGAAGTGACCAGAAGAGATGGAGATCAACTTACGGCTGGTGAAGGTTTTCTGTGATTTTGTAGCAAGGAGCGTCTGATCAATGGATTTAGAGATAAGATTTCTGAACATATCTATGAAGCCGAATCACCTTCGGATCCCACATTCATGAAGACTGTTATACTTTGGAAATTTAGTATGAAGTGATGAAACACAT